ACAGCGATTCATACACTTTACTTACGGTGCCTACTGTTCGCTTGACTCAGTTATCTCTATCTTCTATCTATGCATATGCCTTTATATACTAAAAAAGAGGGCGTCTAGCAAATACTGGGATATTCGTGAGATTTCCGGATAAGTCATGATCCTTCTAGAAACTCCAGCGTGCATGCTCCCAGCGTCGCGTGACTTCCTCTGTCGTAACAGTATGTATATGGTAGAGCAAGATGCATAGGTACTTACAGCAAATGTTGGACATATATTATGGTATGCAGATTAAACAAACTAATTAAATGGTAATGGAAAGCGACATGTCTCATTAGTTTTTAATTACTTAATTATATACCTATAAATTAGACCCATTTAAAACTTACAACTTTATTTGCACATGAAAGTTTATATAATTTGTAATTTCATAGTTTGTCAGTTAAATATATCAGATCAAATGTAAACATTATTTTCATCCATATGTCTTGTATTACATCGATAATATTTGATATTCATGTAAAATAAAATGTTTTGCATAATTAAGTAACCTAACTTTATGTCAACATTCAAAGGTGAATCCCACTATTGGTAATGATATTTGGTCTTAATGGCAGGGTGATGTAATGCTACTGTTCTAATGAGGAGAATGTTAGCGTTCCATCCAAAAGATTTTGTTCTGATTACACAATAATATTATTAATGAAATATTATAAACTGGGTTTCACCAAAATGATAAATTGACAGTATCATGAGGAATTATTTATTTTTTCTTTATAATAAGAGACTGGTTATGTACATAAGTTAAGCTGCAATAAGAATTGAAGGTTTGAAGCAAAGTTTTTTCCTACACTTCAAGCCTTTAATTATAAGACCTTGCGGAGATCATTTGGCGGGAAGGGGCTCATATCCAAAAAGATCTAGTAGTAGGTGATGGTAGAGGAGAAGAACATGACCATTTGGTCATAACTCGGTAAAAAAAGAAAAGGGAGTCTTTAAAAGAGTAACATTGCTAAATGTACTGTCTTTAGATCTAGTACACTATATGTAATGCATCATTAATGAAATAGGTGTAATGATTTGTGTTACTTCTTTTGGACTTCATGCTGTATGTATATATATATATATATATATTCAAACATTTGTATCAATTTTTGCCACAAATAAATCTGAATGAATTTTATTATGAATTTTTAGTTATATTAAAGCGCTAACTCACCATCCAGCTAGAACACGTTGAATTGGAGTATATTTGTATTATAAAACTCACATAGTATGTAATGCTGTTTGTTGTAATATTAACACCATTTAGTGTAAGTTTAACGTTACTTATGGTAGATGTAGCAACAAATAGGCTTAACCGTATCTGCAAAACACAAATTCAGGAAATGCCTTGTTTATTTGTTTGAGCACAGAGCCACACAATGGGCTATCTGTGTTATGTCCACCGCGTGGGATCGGACCCTAAATTTTAGTGTTGTAAATTCATAATCCTACCTGTAATCCACTGGAAGTCTCGGGAATTGTACTGCAGAGAATAATGCCTAACTCGGGTAGAAAACTGAAAGAAAAAGAAACTGAAGTGAACAAAGAAACAAAATCTTTATTAAGGGTTATTGTGTTTATGTTAGTTTTTACTTACTGGTCGGTGCCTGGCAAGGCCAGGTGGATAAGGCGCTCGACTCACAATCTGAGGGTCGCGGGTTCGAATCCGCATACCACCAAACATGCTCGCCCTTTCAGCCGTGGGGACGTTATAATGTGACGGTCAATCCCACTATTCGTTGGTAAAAGAGTAGCCCAAGAGTTGGCGGTGGGTGGTGATGACTAGCTGCCTTCCCTCTAGTCTTACACTGCTAAATTAGGGACGGCTAGCGCAGATAGCCCTCGTGTAGCTTTGCGCAAAATTCCAAAAACAAAACAAAACTTACTGGCCGGCTTATAGTTTTCTGCACAAACCCGCAGAGAATAAACACAAAGGGAATTATATACACGTCTACGAAGAGAAAATGGAATCCTGATTATTTACCGATCAAATTCAAACAAAACATTTAAAGGGCACTATATTAGAATTGAACGTCACCGACTCTTCCAAATGAAATGTGTAAGCGAGGGGGAAGACCTAACTCCTATTATTTTGTACAAGAATCTGTGCTACTTCTTGAGATGGGCTCGCCCATTCCCAAGTTTATTATATAGAGTTAGGACTAAAGTGATACGAGCTTTTAGCCATTGACGTATGCAAGCTTTACCTGAGTAAAGGGAATAGTACATGTTTACAACCTTCCAACATTTGGCTAACAAGAATGTCGGTCTACATGCACAACACCTGAACGAAAAGCTAGGACACTTAATCTAAATATTTCTAACTAAAGATACATTCTAAACTAGCTAAAGAATGGTGGAATTCAATTATCTCCCAGTCATTACAGAATTATAAATAGCACTTTTCCTTTGATACAGAAAATTAACATAGATTTTCAAGTTTTCAGTCTTTACAACCATCCAACAATTTAGGTAAAATATATAACAGTATATGCAGTTCTTGAGCTTCATAGACGAGGAAACATTGACTGTAGAAATTTCAACCAACAAACCAAACTTATCCACAAAGCACACGTAAACAATTTATTTCAATTAGCACCAGAACAAACATTTTAAATTGTATTCAAATTTAAAGTGACCAACTTTTAGCGAAAGCATTCTAGATACAACAGTGATTATTTAATGACTTAAAATATCATTCTGTTACTCTTCTGTTTGTATTAAAACTAATATCCATTTATTCATTAAAATCTGAAAGAGACGTAGACTGTAATATTATGTCATGTCATCAAACTACTCTTAAAAATAGGGAAAGTCATATATGTTTGTAAAAAAAAAAAAGATATCTAAGACAAAACAAATAATA